TTTTTTTTTTTTTTTTTTTTTGGGTGCCAAAACACAGCAGTCCCCAGGCTGCATAGTTCAGGGAACCTCTCCTGCTTAACTTTAAATCTTTGCAAATTGAAGAGCTCAGCAATGAACAGCATTTGGGATATGGCCCCTAGGTGGAGGCAGGAGTCCTGTTAGTGCTCCTCCTTGGCTCAGTAGACTGCTTTCATAATTGCAGGAGCCAGTGTCGAGCTTTTTAAAAATTAGGTGAGTCCCATTAACAGAAACCTGGAGCTGGGGGCAGCCATTTCTTCCAAAGGGCAAATGTACTGAACTCCCATTTTTACAACGTTTAGAGAAGTTATCAGACCAAAGCCGAGGATTTCAGTTATGCTGACAAGTTGGGATCACGTGATAAGGGAAGCTAACACCAGACTAGAGATTTTCTGCAGGGAAAGAGGAGGGTGGCTTTTAATGTAGAAGATGGCAACTTAGGATCTGATTCTGCAGCACTAGGTGTTTAGCGTCCACTCCACCAGGTGCAGGATCAGGCCCTTTGACAGCAAAAATCACAAAGGAAGAGGTCTGCGCATCTCTCTTCTTCATCTTTTTTTTTTTTTTAAAGTCTCTATGGATGCCTATACACGTGCCTGAAGTATGCTAATTAGCACACATCACAGCAGACTTGATTAACTGAGCCTGCTGAAGCATGCTAATTAGCCACATGTATTCAGTGTCCTTATGCTTCAAAATGGTGGCAGGGGCATTTTAACTAAAGCTTGTTGGGTGAACTTTAGTTAAAGGACCCCTGGTACTATTTTGAAGCATGGGACACTGATTACATGAGAAGCTGTGGGTGCTTTAATTGGAGCAGCTCCCGAGAGCCGCTCTAATGAAAGCACTCCCCTCCCCTCCCCCCGGCCTCCCCTATACCCTGGAGCACGTGTAAAGATGCCCCATATAAGTAAGACTTGAGGACCAGAAGCTTATTTAGCCAATAAGGTGATTACTGATCACGCCAGAAAGCCACGAAAGCCCCAACACAATGGTTAGTTCACATGAAAGCGTTTTAACAAGTTTACGTACCTCACTGTACCACACACACTTTTTTTGTTTTATTATCGCCAGTATCAATGTCAACCTCTGCTTTCAAATAAAAGAGAAACACTAAGTGGATCTGAAGGTGGCAATGCAAATATAACAACAGGGAACTCCCTAGGACAGCAAGAACCACTTAGGAAGGGGTTTAATTTCTTATGAAGGACAAAAACATCAACTAAACAGTTTGAAAAGTAATGATAATTAAAGCTTAACTTTGTCATTGAGGCCTCATGTGGCTGCAAAAGGGAGCACAGCCAGCTCGCATTTCTCCCTCCCTTCCCACATTGTCTCCAGGTATGAAGAAAAGGTTTATGTCTGATGCACCTAGTCCTTCCTCCACACTTGAGAAGGAGGAACAGCTAGGAGGTATCATGGTTCCAACTACTTTTTCCTGTTACCTGCTGACAGGTAGGGCTTGGGGGACCAGAGACAATAGGCTGCATTTTCCAAAGGGCTGGCACAGTGTACACCTCCCCACAGACCACAGCAAGATCTGACTCTCCAGTCTTTCCTGGGTGACACGATTATGCATGCCAAGGGGCTGACCCTCAAAGCTCCAAGAGCCTGCATGCGGCCTCAGCACAAAATCAAGTCTATAAGCGTGTGGCTGGACTGCAAAGGGAAGAAGGAAATGCACTTGATCTTTAAATTCCAGTGACAATAACTGGGGGTTGGAACAGATCACCTTTGAGACACCTTCCAACCTTATGACTGATTCGGGTTACTGTGTGCAGAATGTTTCTGTAACTGAAGGTGGGGGGAGAAAAGTCAGAATAACAGCTGCGGGTAGGGGCGATGTTTTAGAAAAGCTGCATTTTTATAGTTCGTGTAGGCATTTGTACTGAATGTTTAATAGTTACTTCGTAGAGCCCGATGGATCACTAGTTTGCCTATAACCGTGGCTTAAACTTGCTATCACATCTTTGACAGATGTGTTCATCACTGTCTTGCTGCATGCTAGGAAGGTGTACACCATGCTTTTAGGTTTATTAATTGCTACACCTTTAGAAACTATTTGTAAGTCTGTCCTTGTACAACACTTGTGCTGTTAAAACCAGCCTCTAGTTTTAGAGAACATCTATATTCAACAGCATTGCTCTCAGGATAGTAAAACTCCTATTGACTACAATGATGCAGGACTGGATCATAAAGAAGGAAGAAAAAGTTCTATTTACATAATCCTGGAGAGCAGAGACTAAGGACTTCAGTCCTGTGAATCAAGCTAGACTTCCAAAGGTTGTATCTAAAATGTATTACCTGGCTGGCTTTTGCTGTGCCTCTTCTTCTTCCTCTGTTTCCCAGACCCTTTCTGCCCTTCCTTGTCAGCACGTCCCTGTCCTGGAGGAACTGAACAGGAAGAATCTGTTGTTGGTTCTTCTGAGAGGGATTTCTCCTGAGAGGTGTCCAGCAATGACTCTTCATCGGGATCTTCATTTTTTTTTGCTGTTTCCCTGATGTCTACCTGTTTGGAGCTTGACTTGGTAGTCAGAATTGTTTCAGCATTTTCAGGTGCTGGTTCAACTTTGATTTTAGTCTCACTTTGACAGGTGTCACTGGGCAGCAATGTCTGTTCAGCTATTTTACCACTTCCTAAGACAGTTAGTTCAGATTTGCTATCCTTATCCCCTAAGCTAGGTGCATCTGTTTCATCTTTTAACCTGGTACAATGGCTTGAATAGCTGCTTGCAAACTGTATAGATGCTCCTATGTTACATGGAGAAAACACGCTGGTTTTGTGTTCTGTGTTCTCTGGAAAGCTGTACGAGTCATTCTTCCCCTTGATGCTTACTCCATCCTTTGGCTGGGAGACTCTATCAGCATCTGCTGAACTAAAGGAGCTTCCTTGAGTACAGGGCTGTTGTGGCAAATTTCCTCCAGCGTTGTCTTCAGGAGGTGGCTGGTTTGAAGCAGACAACTGTACTTCATCTTTACCAGGGCCCATAATGGTGGCAGAAGCAGCATCTGGGGCAGGAGTGTATTCTGAGTGATTGTCCTCACTTTGTTTGGTCTCGCAAATGCTTTCCTTTCCCACTTCTTTTACATCATTAGCACTTTTCCCTTTAAACAAAGAACAGAGGGTCAGACAAGGTTCTTCAGTGCTGCATTTGAAATGACCTGACCTGTTGGCCATCACCCCAAACCTAGCTACATTCATGGCTGTGAACCCTAAAAACGAATCTGATTCAGTAAAACCAAAGCTTACCTTGAAGCCTCCCATGGGACTAAACTATGTGCTTAATTTCCATGGAAGCAAAGAGAACTTAACCATGTTGAATTTGGGCTTATCTTGGCAGTGACACTTACCACTTGGCATTGTGGCCTAATTTAGCTGACAAGTCTATGCTGAAGTTAGTAGCTGGATCTGAGACAGGACTTCAGACCTCTCTGCCCTCCCAGCTTTCTCCCATCCAAGTAGTAATCCAATCTAACTCTGCTTTTTAAAGGTAACCCAGGATGATGATAACATACAAATGATGTCAACATGAGTCTTCCAGCAACAGCGCTGGCTGGGAAGTCTCTGGGAATGGAATCTGCAGCCTTTAGAGCTGGAAGGAAGCTTGAGCAGCAAAGTCACAAAATCAGCAGCTCGTGAGTAACCCTTTCATGCAGGTGCCTAAGTGATTTATGAACACTGGTTTTCTCCTCCAGGGGCCCTGGACCCACTGATAACGCTTTTGGAAGTGGTGTCCCTTTAAGATTAAATACCCCAAATGTGAATGAGACTGGAGCTCCTGCTTGGGTATCTGTCTTGCAGTTGGGTGGGTTGGAGACAAATGGCCTCTGCCTTACCTGGTTGCCCTCCCTCCGGGGTGCCTGCTGGCGTTGTTTTAGGTGGAGTGTCTGACTCTCCCCTGTTCTTTGTTTTCCGTAGCTTGAAGCCTTTCCGTATGTCAGCCAGTAGGGCATCAATAATGCACACCTCCTCCTGCTTTACTGCCCCCTTCTTAACTGGGGTTTAAAAACAAGACAAAACAGAGACATCATTAATATCGCTCTCCTCCTGAATGGGCAGGACCACTGAGAGCAGTGATGACCTAAGGAAGAATTTGACTTGACCTCCTTGTTCCCCCCACTTCCACTCCCCAGTGTTGTGTTGAGACTGATCCCAGTTTAAAATAGATACCAAATGCTACTGCTTGGCCCTAGGACCATTACACATCTGTCACACTGGTGTTGGTGATGACTGTAGAGGGCAGGAGGGAGGGAGCTATAAGTAGTGTGTCCCAGAGCCTCTGCCACTGAAGGTCATCACACCTGCAGGCTGAGACCTTGCACCTCTTTGTGTCCTGCATCTAGTTTGAATGTTGCAGGTGTGAGGGACAGCTAATCTAGGGAGGTAGAGGTGTTCTGCTTTGCTTCTCTATTGCCTTTAAGACCAAACTCTTTGTTTCTGGTTGAAATGTATTGCAAACTTCTGTTGGCTTTGGTGAATGGTTTCAGTTGAGAGCAGGGCTGGGAAAATTCTCTGAAAAAGTTAAATATATAGTTTTTCAATTTGCGAGGACATCTTAACCAGAAGTTTAAATATATTAAATTTTAAGAAAAAACACTTTGTCCAATGCAGAACAAGGTCTTTTGTTTTCAAAGTTTTTTACTTTTCTGTTTGGCTAGCAGACCCCAAATTGGTATTAGCATAGCTCTGACTGTGGTAGATGGACATGGCTGCCTATAGACACCACTTTTAGGTACTGAGGAGGCTGGAGCAGGAACAGGTTGGCACCTCTGAGTCCTTGTGTGGCTGAATATGGGCTCTATGAACCTTCCATTAAACCCCATCAGATACTCACTTATCTTTCCATTTTCTCCTGTCTGTCTCTTAGCTTCTTCCTCCTCCAGCTGTTTCTTCCTCTTTTCTGCCTTTGCAGCTTGTTCCTTCCTGTCCTTGTTTTCCTGTAGGTAGATAAGTGATGTGATATCTGATTGATTTAAATATCTGGTAGCACAGCCATGCAGCTGAGATCAGGTTGGAAAGCCACTAGAAATGGGATCTATCCCACTTGCAGCCTGTTGCAATTCCTGGGCACTTACATTCCCAAATGGATAATGTGGGCAGTGGGACCTGTGTCCTTTCTTTGGTGGGGAGGGGGCAAGGGGGGCAGAAAGCGTGTTTGGCCATGCTCATTCTCAGTAGGAAGAGGCAGCCATGGATCACCCTGTAAAGTAAACCTACTGACTTGCTCTAGATCAACTTTTCTTGTCCACTTGCATGCAACCCCTCTATAAATGTTGAAAGACCCCTTCTGAGCCAAGCTGATTTGTTTTGGATGCATGTGATGACCAATTTTGAGACCACTGTAAGTCTAAACTTTCTATGAATTGCTCTTTGAGTGGAATAGAGACTTTCATGGATCCATCATTCAAACTATAGGCCTTGGATAAAGAATCTGACCGTTGAGTTTTTGCACACTTTTTGTATTGGAAGATCCAAAGTGGACAGATTCCTCTTTGCCAGTGGCAAATTGCCCCTGCACAGAGAACTGCTTCCTTGTGGAAAGCTACTGCATGTAGCACACAGTTTCCAGTACCAGCCACTCTTTCCTTCTTTGGCTTAAGGGATGTGGTCTTTGCTACACCACTTCCAGCTGTTGGCATGAGAAGGCACTGGTTGTGGAGCAGAGTTATGATGCAGCAATTCTGCCTGAGGAACTTTATGCTAGTAGAGATGTTAGAGCAGTCACAGGACTACTCTAACTAATGTCAGTGCTGACTTGAGCACCTAATGGCCCTTGCTTTCAAGGGGAGAAATGAATCCACCATCTTTCTATGCTACTTGAACTGATGTGTGTTTTCCACCCCTGCATCTGACTGTGCAATGTTCACAAATGCAAACCTTAAGTGCTTTGATGAAAAGATCCCTGAAGGTTTTCATGGTGCTAAATATATCTTCCAGTGACAATTTGTTTGGATCTTCACAGAGATAGTTGGCAAGTTCCTCCTTTTTCCTGTCAATGGTATTAAATGTCTCCTGCAGCTTCTGTGATGCCTTTATGCTGTCCTGAAAGGCATTTAATTTAAATTTTACAAAGGTAAAGACTGATGTTAAAAATGGAATAACGATGTATGAGCTGAAAGTTCAGGTGCAGGGAGACATATAGAAGCAGGCAAAAGGGTGAAATGTAAGATGTGAGGGAGCTCCTCTCACTGACCTCGATGGGTGCCTCGTACTGTGCTTTCACATCGTCGCTCGAGGCCTGTAACTTTTTCTTAAGTTCTTCCAACTTATTTAAATGGGAATTGGATTCTGTACGTATAATTTCCAGGTTAATTCTGAAAAAGAGTACCCACAAGAGACTGAAGATGTTTTGCTATTTAGTCTGGGAATGCTGGAAGACAGGGACATCTGAGCCCATGTATCCCCTCCTGTGCTTTCCCTAACAGCAAAGCACAGGTGTGTCAGTGAAATCTCAGGCAGGATTTTCCCAGGAGCTATGCTCAGTGCCTAGAAGAATGGAGCCCTTCTCTTAGCTGGGACATCTTGGTTCTACTGTAATGCAATAAGAAACCCCCATCTGAAAACTCTAAGAAAGTAGATTAAGAATAGGATTTCTTTCTTTCTTTCTTTTTTTTTTTTTTTCAAACAGTGCTTAAAAAATTTAGGAATACAAACACCATTGACTTTTTGCATGGCCTATGAATCTAAATCACTTGTACTCTTGAAAATTGTCCTTTACTAGTCCTATAAGTATCTCTAGCACCAGTGAACCATGGTATTATTTGCTTACCATTGCTTATCTGTTTGTACAGATAGGGAAGGGTCATCCAGCTATACACTGGTGTTTGTATTTTGGCTCTTGAGAGCCAGAGTCTCTAATGCAAGAGACCACAATTCCAAGCTGTCCTAGAAAACCTTGCAGCAACAAAACCTGTGTTATCGGATATGTTTGCAATGTAGGCAAAGCAACTTCCTCTCTTGAGTGACCATCCCCAAATGCACTTGATCAAATCCATCTGTGGTGTGATTCCAGGACTATTGATGCCATGGGCTTTAAATCCAGTGGGCTTACAGCAAAGACCAAACTGGCCCAGGAAATATAGTTTTGCTCCACTTTGTTTGAAGACCCCCTTTGCCAAGGAACTAGTTCTCTGTGAGCCCCTGGAGTGAGTGAGGAAAGTGGTCTCTAGCAGCACATAGAAAAACAGGGGCAGGTCTAACTGTAACCTTGTGTATTGTATACTTGGAACTGAGACATATGGACTCTAATTGTCTGGCATCTCTAATACATTAAAGGGACTAATCTAAAGATTAAGGGCTCCTTTTGGAGTGCTAGCTACTAGCATATTGTCCCAGAATACATAGTAGTGAAAGGCACTTCATAAACGATTAAAGGTGGATGGAATTAAAAAGGTACAGCCCCCCCACCTGAATGCAGTATGGCCTCTGGAAAGCTGAATTAATTGAATGTGGCTCAATTTCCAGCCCTAAACACTGAGGCTTATTGCCTGTTGCAAATCATCAATTTGTGTTTTAAAATGGTCTCCAAGTTCATGAACCAAATCTTTTGGTTCAAAACTAATTAAAACTCTACCCCATTAATTAATGGGTTATAATGGGGCTTTTTATGTTCTAATTTCTTGAAAATGGCTGGTGTGGGGGTTGTACGGTGCATGTCTTCCTTTTAATTTAAAGTAACCTCCTACCCTGCTGCCTTTGCAACACATTCAAGGTCCTTGGGAAGCTCCAGTAAGTCCGTGTGATTATTTTCTACTTCCTGAAACAAGAGAGAAACTTCAGTTGTTGGTATGTTCTCAGCTTCACATTGGAGGAGAAGGGTATGTGGGGGTTTTGGGTGGGAGAGGTGGGGAGAATGGATAGAAGCAAGGTGCTCGGAGTGTGTAATTGGTCCATATAAGGTAACCTCTCCCCTCCCACCCTCTTATTGTTACCGAGCCAAGAATTTAGCAAGTTGTTTTTAATGAGACATTCCTGAGTCCTTAATGTTAAAGATTAAAACAAATATAAAGAGTTTTGAGAGGGGCATGAACACCCAGCCTTTAGGGCCTAGGTTCACCTCCAGCTGATAAGAGCTAGGATGGAACTTTCTGACTATCGTCTACTGTGGTGTTTCTTGAACCTTCCTCGGGCAGTAGGTACTAGCCACTGCTGGAGATGGGTTCAGGCCGTGCTAGTCGGATGCTAGCTAGTCCAGTGTCCTATGTATAGAATAGAAACACTCTGATGCATCTTACCTGCCTATCTATTTGCTTAGACAGCCACAATCACCACAGTGTCCGTGCACTTCTGCCTAGCAATTAAGGACTGGCTGATACCCTTTTTAGGTGTTGCAAGACCAGTAGGACTTATGCTGAGGTTTTAATATGCAGATTTGTTTAGGCAGAGAACTCAATAAATGGGGCAAACTGAAGCTGGTGCTGTAGGCAGAGCAGACAGGAAAGTGGGGAAAGGATAAAAGGTCAGATAAGCAGGAAAAAGAAAGTTGTGAAAGCCTGGGGGAAGTCAAAGAGGCTCAGTTGATAAAGTGGGAGTGGGCAGAAGGATTCAGAGTGGGGGTGTGACCTCATTAGGACTGTTGGCAAGGCAGCTGCATTTTCAGCACTGAGGAAATGAGGGAGGAGAAAGATCCAGTGGTGGAGGTGATAGGGAGGGTCTGGGCAAAACTCCCTGTTCTCTCCACAATTTTTATAGGAATCTTTTTTTTTTTAAAGGTTTTCTAGTGATAGCATTAGGGCCCCATCCAAATGGAGCCCTGCCTTCAGGGCCATGCACAGAGGATGCAAACATGAGTGTGTGACACCAGTTTGGCCAGGATCAAATTCCTCTAGGGAAACTGCAGAGGTACCTTCAGAATGTGGTGCAGCAAAGTAATGCGGGTTTGGTTTGCTTTGGTTTCAGTTAGTTTGAGTAAAGTGCTAATTTTAAAGCCATCAGCATCTCCGGTGTGACTTCCCTGAAGGAAAGAAAAAGAAAGCAGAAATAAGTCTTGTGTTCCCTCCTTATTTATATCTGGTCTATACAAATGGGAGGTTTCAGCTTTTAATCAATAAAATGGATTGATTAAATTAAAAACACCTTACATAGTTCAGAAAGTTTCCAACTTTGAGGATCAGCTGACAAAACAGAGGCAGGCGATGGCTAATAAGAAGATCTGTGAGGGGGAAAAAAAGGTGTCTGTGAATGAATGTCACCTTCCACTTGGAATGACTCCCAAATGGTCTCCGAGCTGGAGCTCCCAGCTCCAATTATTCCAAATCAGGACTTTCTGGTTTACAACACAAATGATGTGGCATCTGTTCTAATGTGCGAGAAACCCAGGGAGAGTCTGACTTTTAGTGGCCCTGGTTAACTTCTTGAGCTGGACTGAGTAAGTCTTGTGGACTCTCTTCATACTTTGAAGTTCCTTATTGGGGAAATAGCATGAGACCTGATTCTATTTGCTTGACACCAATGTTACACCAACACTCACTGATTGCACTGGAATTATTCTTGGTTTATACCAGTGTAAGTTGAATGAGAATCAGGTCCTGTGATTTTAATATTCAAGGGCACTCAGGGTCAATTTGAATTATAGAGAAGTCAGTTTTGACATGCCTTGCAATTATAGTCCACTCATTATAACTAGACAGGCTAGTCCCGTTCTCAGGTGGTGGTTAGTTGGCAAGGGAGCTGATTATCAGTGTGTGAAACAGGCCAAGGACATATCCAGTCTATCCCATAAGAGTGAACTTTGTGCGGCTAAGGGTCCTTAAAAAAACAAATTTGACACACATGAGGTGGCAACAGCAGGAACACCAGCACAGACACATTTATTTAAGCTTCTCTGCTAATCCCACCAGCACCTTGATCATTGCTGCTAGTGGAGAGTTGCAGAGTATAATGGAGCCAAGCATTTTGGTTACACTGCACTCAGTGGTAGAAAGGGGGCCTCATTCACCCCAAATAATTTCCCACAAAGATTCCTGAGCCTCTGCACTGCATGGACTTGGATCCGGTTTGGGGACAGCAATTTTTGTGCGATTTCCATAAGCTAAAAAAAATGCATGCACAAATTTGAAAGCCTATTCAACACCATCAAATTGTCCTCAGTGTGGTGTCAGACTTCCCTCCCCCACCCACCTGCAAGGGGAGATATTGAGTAAGAATTGCTCAAGATATTTTTATACCACCATTTAACAGGGGTGGACAAATTACAGCCTGCGGGCCAGATCTGGCCTGCCAAGTGACTCTATCTGACCCAGATGGGTCCCTCAGCCCCATCTAGCCCGGGTCATAGCGTGTGTGACTGGTCCCGCCATCCCCAGGTGCGGAAGTGGCACCTGGTGCAGAGTGCAGGTCACCCTATCCCTGTGTGTGGTTCCCAGATGCTGGGAGCTGTAGTCTGCGGGGCTTGGTCGCATGGTGGGGGTGATGCAACATCTGGACTTGGCTTCTCAGCAGCCTCCGTGGCAGTGGCTTGCTCTATCCTCATACTTCTGGCTGCAGTTGTCAGTGTTTCTGCAGCCAGACCTGGCACCTAGCCCTGGAGGTACTGGACAGAGTGGCAGGGGTCTCTACTGAGACCAGCTCAGGACCCCAGGGGCAGTGTGTGCTCTGTTGGGTGGATGCAATGAGGCCATGGGCAGGCAGAAAGCGGTACCTGGGAGCAGGACAGGTGTGTGGAGCTGGGAACATGAGATGGTGACATTGTGGGGCTGGGGCCTGGGGCAGAGCTGTGATCTGCTCCCCACACATCCCTGTGACAGATGCTGGTTCCATGGACACCCCACCCACCTGCTCTGTCCAACACCACCAGTGGTGGGTTCAGGGTGGACAGGCCTGGGCCAGATAGGATCAATTGGCATCTCCCTAGCTGCCCCTGCCAGGTGGTATAAACAGCCACGATGGGGGGCTGAGTCCAGGTCAGCACTCTTCCCTCTTCCCACCCTCAACAGCTCACTAAAATTCCTTAAGTGGTTCTAAATAATTACCCACCCCGACCTAGAGGACCGTCCCATTCTGGTTTTCCATACTGTCTCTGCCCCCAGTGATTCAGGTGGACCATCCTCATGTACTCCCAAATAGTAGCTCTAGGGCTCGTAAGACATACCACATAATCTACATGGATACTTGGATGGCCCCATTGCTATGGTAGCAGAGTATCCCCTAACTACTTACAACAGCAGCAAACTCTGTAGGAGAGAGCTTGACTAGTGGGTATGAAGGGATTTTGAGTATTTCTGGGTTGGCAGAGGGCTTCTGCTCAGGCAGTTGTATATAATGGTGTTCTAGGGAGTCCTAAATGGGGTCTTCCTTTAGTTTTTGCCAGGTTGAGATCCACTGTCTAAATCCAGCTTCCTGGAAAGATCTGGCACTAACAAGCCCTGACTGGTTGATAATTGCATCAACAGTGAAGCTGGCATGATAATCGGAAAGTAACACTTTGGTAGGCAATGCCAGTTCCATAGAATGCTCTCACTATCAAGAAGGATTCATTGGTCTACATTTTGCTTTTGCTGAAATGCATTCATGGTGGTCCACAGATTTTGGCTGCTGAGCATTTTGCCAGTGGGAGGCTTCTTCAGGGCTTGTGGCTTTGTAATTCATCCCTAGAAACAATCATTAAGCTTGATGTCCATAGCTCATAAGGATTTGATTCTCTCAAGTCTGATAGAGTCAAGGAGGAATCCACCATACAAAAACAGATTCTCCTTAATATGGAATGAAGACAACAAAAGGTCACTTTGGCCTCAAATTCTAGGGAAAAAAGAGGACTGCTATGTTGTGCATGGTTCTGAACATAATCCATTGATGTGCGGCCCTGTCTTGTTTACCTTCACAGGCTTTCTCGATCGTGTCTGCTTTAGGTTGTAGCATGTCTAGCATGACGGTAGTCTCCTCGCATAATAGCATACATTCAATCCGCAGTTGATAGCTAAGAAAAGAGATTAGTACAAATATACTGTTAGGCCTAACAACTTCCTGAACCATGGTGGCCTCTCCCCCACTCCCAGAACCATTAAAAGCTTGCTTATTCTAAAATCTATGGGGAAAAAAACCACATTCGTAGCTCATGTGGGTATGTTCACACCACAGTAGCAGAGGCCTCAGTCCTGCTACTGATGCGGTAAGCCTTGGTCCTACTTTGTACGTCAGCCCGTAGGAGGAGGACACTCAAAGGAATATTCCTGGCATTGCATTCAAGACCTGGACTTCCAATGTGCTCAAAAGCAGCAGGTTGGGTGTGGACAAGGCCTCTGTCTACATCAGACTGGTACAGAGTGATTGGCTGTGCCTATGGCTTGGGGTTCTTTATCAATGGGAACCAAAAACTGGTAGCATGCAGACAATGCTGTAGGGCCACACTAACTCAGCAGACAGGCAGGACTGCTATGTGGCCTTCAAGATATAGGTTCTATTCCTGAAACTCCCACAGGCCTCCTGAATCACTTTTGGGTTAGTTATGTGACCTCCTATGTCCCTTAATACTTATTGGACTCTGTGTGTGTGTGTGTGTACGCGTGCATGCATGCATGCATGTTTGGGGCCACAACCTCCTCCACTATGAAGCCACAGATATCCAGAACTGCATGCAAAATGGGCAGCGCTAACTGGGGAAGGCTGTGGGAGATCATCTCATTAGGAGCCTTGCCAGCAGGTACTATGAAATCCCTTAATGGCTCCCTCTGGTAGCAAATGGAAAAGAGCATAGGCGCAATATGTTTCCATGGCAGAGCAATATGACTATGGTTGCATCTTCCCAGGCTGGCTTCAAGAGGCATAATTTATATTTCCCTTTGTATGAGTATTTTCTTATCTCTAAAATGGAATAGTTCCTCAGGTGGCTAATGTAAGGTTTATATGATTGATATTCTGTAAAGTGCTTTGAGGACCTCTGTTGTTAATTTGCACTTTGTTTGCTGCTTCCATTAAGGTGTCTTAATAATGAGCAACTGCCCTCAATTCAATCACTAAGCACGCTAAAAACCCTTGACGGAAGATTTTGTTTTAAAGCAACAAATCCATTAAAAGAAAGATCAGGTTCTTTCTCTTATTTTTATTCCTTTGAGAGCTTCTCATAGTGTTGCCACAAGAAAAAAGACCCACTTCTTTCTATTGGGTGGCTTTTCCAAATAATTGCGAATGACTTGGCATTCAGAACGTTGTGTAGTGTAATCCTCTGGCTGGGAGCACTTTGAGTCTCCTGTTACATGACACACTGCACTAGACTTCACAGGCTCTCTGAGTAGATCAAAGCTGCTGCTTTTTGAAAAAGGTATGTAAGCAAAGATGAAGCTAAAGTGGGAGATAATATCCCTTACCTGGGAATCCCAAGGAGGAGGAGATAAAACTGATCAGCATTAGCTAACTTTGATTTTTCTTCCTTGAAGGCTTTCAGGTTTTCTATCTAACAAGAAATACAAGAGTCAACACTGCAGAGCTGCACCCCTGCTTACAGCTTTTGTGAACTGAATTATATTTAGAGGCTTCTTTCTCCTAACCTCATGCTTTTCGGGTAGCAGCTTCAGTAGTTGTTTCAAAACCTCAACATCAAACTTGGTCCTGTCCCCTTTCCAAATCATATCAGCTACCTCTTCATTTGAGCTGTAGGGAAAAGGCATGGAATTAGAAACAGTCATGAAATGATGCATGTGGTACTGCAACCATAAACCATTAAGCATAGTGCTAATTCTTTATGAAGAGGGTCTATAACCCCACCCCCACCCCCAATGAGAACTGCCTACTGGGAGGAAGTATGATCCAGTGGCTAGTGCAGACATAGACTTCCTGGGGGACTTTGGTCAAATCACTTAAGACAAACTTTTAAAAGATATTTAGGTGCCTCAAGATGTGGCTAGGTGCCTAGTAGGTTGTTTCAAAAGCACCTGAGATTAGGCATTGATGCATGCCTGCAGGCATACACAAACACATTTTCCTCCTCATCTAGAAAATGGAGTTCATAGCACTTCCCTACCCCACAAGGATATTGGGAGGATGAATACATTTAAAAGCCTGGAGGTGCTCAGATACTACAGTGATTGGGACCATGGTGGTACAATAGGTAGACAAGATTTTTCAAGCTTTGCATAGATTGATGCATCTGGAAGGAAAATAAAAGTCGCTTTCCAAAGTACCATTTTATTCAGCAAATGTGAAACAGGTCATATCTTACCATTTAAATTGCTTCAAAAAGATATTCAAGTTGAGACTTTTCTTGGAGTCTAAGAACGTGATCTGTTTTAAGAAATGACACTTTGGGTTAGAGGAGCCATATGCAGTGATCTTTATCTATATTTATCAAACAAATAGAAATAGCCCAATACCTCCTTTGGTTCTGCTTTGACAGGGGCAGTGGCTTTCTCCTTGGGGCTTGTTTGGGGAAAACAAAAGAGTTGTTCTATGCTCGTATAATCGGGCTCTATGGTTTCTTCGCTGCTGCTAGTCACTGATGCCCACATAGAGTGACTTTCTGAAAGAGAAACAGATGCAACCAAAAACTCAGAACTTCAGTTTTGAGACAATGCAACTGCCTGGAATATAAATGCTCTGAAAGATAAATGAAAGGAGGAGAGAGGCACATTAGTCCCGGACTAATGTTAATTATTTAAGAGTGGCAGCTCCCACAGTGCAGATCCCAAAGGTTTGAAGGCTAATTAAACCAGGGAAGCTAGAGCCACATGCTATTAACTGCACTGAAGGCAGGAGCCAAGCTAAATGGCTTTTCCCAACTTCTGTTAGCTCTCGCCGCTCTGCTGCATATCGCAGAGTTGCAGTGCACGCACAGGATGCTGAGCTCCAATTAGGTTAATGCCTCTGTCTAGAATACTTAAAGGGCTCCCCAGGCTCAGGATCACTGTCTGGCTCATTAGGAACCATCTAGCTAATACCTGGGACATTTGGAAAGCAGAGTTATCTGCAATGTTGCTTAACACGCTAGAGAATTCCACTGAGAGCCAGATACGGAGACAGGCACATCTTGGTGACCATAATAATTTGAGGGAAATATGAGACAGAAAGGAGGGGGAGGGGGGAACACTGGGGGGCACCAGTATGCACATGCACGCACACACACAGCCCCAACCCTGTGGCTCCCCATGCACACCCCTACCCTGACTCTACTGAGCAAGCAACTCTGCTCACAGCCCAGCAGGGTCCAGACCAGGAAGCAGCCCATTGTTTCAACTCCCTGCAGAAAATTGAAGCAAAAGTCCAAGATTGGCATAAACCTGCCCGCGCATGCCTGGCTCCTGACTTGGGAGTCTCATGTGGGTGGGTTCCTGCCAATCTGGGAATTTTGCTTCAATTCTCTCCAACGGGTGGGAAGCTGAGACACCGTCCGAAATCCAGGACTGTCCCAGCCGATCTGGGATGTATGGTCACCCTAGGGTAGCTAGGCTACAGTGCTTTCAGGAGCTCCCAGACATGCAAGCACAGCATATCCACAGCTCTATTCCTAATGTGATGCAGACCGACTCAATCAGTTGGTGGAGAGCAGGAAGGCTGTGGGCCTGTCTCCTTCCTATTTCTGGTAGGGTGGCTAACAGGATGTCTTCGGGGATCATGACTGGCCATTTTCTGCATGGGAACTTTCCTAATTATTATAAATTGTAAACGCATCCAGTCTGGCTTCCCATATAACTGGGCCATAGGATTTCTTCAAATCATTTATTTATGTATTAGATGGGTAACTCCTGCTTGAACTAGAGCATTTCTTCTAAAAAATCCACCCAATCTCAATTTGCTGTTTGAGAATCCACTAAAACGCTTAATAATTCTTCCAATAATTTGTTCCAATGGTTCATTACCTGCATTAAACATTTTTCACACTATTTTAGGCCTAGGCTTGTTTACCTTCAACTTCCAGTCATTGAATCTCGTTGTCTGGTAGATTAAAGAAGACCTCAGTCTTGCATGTACCCATGTAGGTACTTATAGATGTGTCCCTTCACCTTCCGTGGTGAAAAACTAACAAACGTTGCTCCTTAGATCGTTCACTGTAAAGCTTATTTTCCAATTGCTCAATTGTTTTTTTTTTATGGCTCTTCTCTGAATTCTACAATTTTCCTCAAAGTCCTTGGCTTGTGGATTGGAGAACTGCAGTGGTAATCTCACAAGTGCAAAACAGAGGTAAAAATCCTGCCTATGACTTTGCAATACTCCCCTGCCTATACAGCCTTAGCAGCACTATGTAATTCATGCTGACATGATTTTCCACATTTCACCTTTCCCCACCTAATTTTTCCCCCCACAATTACCAAGGACAGAAAGGCCCCATTCTGGCCTGTCACAATTTGAACAATTTTGAAACCAGATCCATAGCTTGCTGAAGTTGATTGGAAGACTTATTGCTAGGGGACTACATGGAAGGGAAGTGAGGTGCCTTTTAGTTTGGAATTTATTTAAAAAAAAAAAAAAAAGGCTTTTATTTCTAGACAAAATGGTCCCCAGCCAAAGACTTAACTAA